ATAACATAGTTTCCTGAAGGGAAGTAAAGTGTGTTACCAAGTTGAGGATCATCTAGCAATTCATTAGTGGAATCTTCGAAGATACAAGACTTTCAGTGTTCCAATTCGCACCCTTCGCATTTGAACACTGGGGGAATGATATGAGGATACGACAACAATAACTGCCACGTCAACTGGGAAACGAAAATTCGAAAACAAAATGCATCATCGAGACTGGGGACTGCGCAGCCAGCCCCGAAGAACCAAATTGTACAAGATAGCCACAAGTAATGGCAATTTTTTTTTAGCATAGCAAATGTTTATGTATTTTTTTAAAATAGAAGAAATAAAATGAAATCCATTTGTTTTTATCTTGTTTCTTGTCCGAACGATGAATTAACTTTGTCATTTGAATGTTAAACAAGTACTTCAAATGTTAGTATCGTAATGAACAGGAGACGTCCTCTTCAAGAGCACCGTAAACATAAAAGGGCCCTCTCTTATAAAAACTCTCACGTTAAAGGGTTGGTTCCGGAAGAATCTATGCCCGGAATCAAAATGCCATCGGGGAAAAATACACCAGAAGTCGCATATGAAAAGGACGCAAAAAGTAAACTTGTGCAAATACTTATAAAAACCCTCACATTAAAGGGTTGGTTCTGGAAGAATCTATGCCCATAATAAAAAATGCCATCGGGGAAAAATACACCCGAAGCCGCATAAGAAAAGGACGCAAAAAGTAAACTTATGCAAATACTTATAGAAACCCTCACATAAAAGGGATAATGCTCGGAACCAAAATGCTTCGAGAAAAACGCATCCAGGACTACACATAATAAAGCACAAATAGAAAAACGTGCACATAATTCTTAAGCAAATGTTAAAGACTTGCATGGACATTCAAACGAGAGTAAGACTCAAACAATACTTTAGCAAAAACATGTATTTACTTACAAGAACGTGCCAAAATGGTAACAGTACAAAATGGGAAAAAGAAGAGAAAAGCTAAACTGCAGTGTCTCCGGAACCAGTAGTAAGAGAAGTGTCCGTGTCCCCGGGAGAAGTAGGTGGGTCCATCGATGGCCCGACGTTTTCCCCAGTCTAGTCTTCAGCATCATCTCCCTTCGATCCCTTTTCAGTTCCTGAAAACTCGGAACCGGAACCAGAAGAACCAGGAGCATCAGACTACGAATCCATTTTTAGTAGCCAACTCAAGCTCTCAGGTCTTAACAATTTCGGCATCAAAAATGATACAATTTTGGCCTCTTCCAAGGTTTTTCTCCTCATGATGTACATGACATAAGTTTTTTCAACAAGAAGGGAAGTCGCTCGGTGCTTAAGTTCTTCTTTGAGTTGGGTAACCTCGGCAGAAAGGCTCTCCCTGGCGAACCTAAAAGATCTAAGGCTAACGTCAAGGTCATGGACGGTAGAACTAAAGAGCTTGTTGTGCTCGATAATTTTCTTGTACTTCTCTTCCAACTGGGCATGTTTTTCCCTCACAGTAGCAAGTTCTTCGATTATGGAGTTCAAGGCAGCTTTTAAGTTAGTTACTTTTTCGGCAGTAGCAGCCTCGCGCTCGGTTGCAGCAATAACAACGTACTGGACTTCAGCCCATTTGGCCTTAGCTTCATCAAATATAACACTCAGCGGGCTAATTTCTTGGCTAAGGGTTACCAATTCTTGCTTGCTTTGCTGCAAACGAGCCTCCAAAACAACGGACTCAGTAGCTTTGGTTTCCAGTTCCGAGAGGCATAGAACTGTTTGATCCCGTTCCACCAAAAACTGATTCTGTTCGAAAGTAAGTTCCTCCTTCTCACGAATCAACCTCTGAAGGCCCTCAGAAGCAAGGAAGTTGGCCTACAAAACAAGAAAAAGTAAAACTTAGAATACATTCATACAAAAGAAGAAGAAGTAATGAAGAAAGAAAAAAACATACTGCAACGGCGTTGTGCATGGCATTGTTCAACAAACACTCTCTCGAGAGTGCCTGAATCTTTTCCCAGTCTTTCTCTGAAGCCAAAGGCTTCAGATAATTAGCAAGCTACACCAGTCGGGATAGCAAGTTGCATTCGGTAGAGACCGAAAGAGTAACATTCCTCCTCCTTTATGGATCTTCAGAAAGGGCAGCATAATTTTGCCCCAAATTCCCATGAACTGGTCAGATGCGGACGATGGAGGTGATGTAGCAAGTGGTGGTAGAAGAGTGGATGAGATGGAAGTGATGCAGTAGTTGCTGGTATTGGTGAAGGTGGAGATGAAGCTGATGGAGTTGAAGAGTGAGAAGCAGCTGCATCAAATACAATGCTGGCTGTTGGATTCTCTCCAACCAAAGATGGGAAGGACCCGGTACTCAGCCCCGCGGTACTCAACCAAAGATGGGAAGGAAGGTAAGTTAAAATTACTATAATTTTTGGCCTTCCACCCGTATTTAAGGGCCAGTTCTTTCTATAAACGAGTTTCGGGCGTCGTGACGTCCAAAATCTTCTGAACCCATCGGTCAAAACCTTCCACCACTGGTGGGATCCATCGAGTTGCTAAGACATGCGAAGGGTTAAGAGTCGATACGGCCATAGAAGAATATTTAGTGAAAGAAAACATATTAAATAAAGATCTTACGAGTGCAATTCCAAGGGGCCGAAAAGGATGAAGCCGTTGTTGGAATGATATTATTGGTGGCAACTGTAACGAACCGTTCCGTCCACCCACGGTCGTTATCATCATCCATGCTGGTCAACATAGCATGGTGACCACGTTTGCAGAGGTTTATCATACCCCCACGGAAAATCTTGGGGGAGTAGAGATTCATCATACGAGTTAATGTTAGCTCCTCTCCAGCCACTTAGCACAAACGTCGAAGACATGCGACCGTCCTCCACACTGAAGGACTTACCTATTCCAAACACACTTGGTAGCGAAAGCAAAACTCCGCAATCACGGAATCAAGTTCTCCACTGAAAGAAAACGCACCCAAAGTAAAGGGATACGTGTAAAAATATGTAAAACTTCCTTGGGAAGGGTCACTCGCTTTGATAGATCAGGAGCAATGATACCCAACGCATGGTAGCGTCAGTCTTCCTTCACATCAGGAATACTGGAATGACGAATGGAAGAAGGGTACCTATATCCCATGTACGAGGGTTAGCAGTAGGGAATTTCTCTTCAAAGTCCTTTGTGGTACTGAGTTTTCTTGGGATGATGGAACCCACCGTTAGAGGAGTAGAGTCCCCGGCTTTGTTCTTGTTCTTTGAAGAACCAGCACGCTTGGAGGAAGAAGCCATTGAATAAGAAGAAGGAACAGGTTTTGTATTTGAAGAGAATTAGAGAAAGGATGGAAAACAAAGATGCAAATCGGAAGCTCGGGAAATTATGAAGCACAAAGGAAAAGAATGATGCGTATAAGTAAAATTTTGGCAGCTAAATTCATGGCCATGATTACCTCGATAATCGGCAAAAGTTGTGATGAGTCATGGGATGACGCGTGATCGGGGTATTAAATGCGGAGAGACGCACGTCTAATCAACTGTCACAAGCCTTCGGAGGGAATTATTGTAATTTCCGCCAAAAGAGTGTTTCTACCAACTTTTTGGTAACACAAAGTTATGTCACCGGAAAGTAGGGGGACTATCTGTATAGGGTGAAATATTATGACATATGGTCATCTAAAGGAAAGACACGTGGAACCCAAGACGGGGATGGCCGAAGACCAAACGCAACCATTCAGCATGTCACCGGAAGAGATAACATTCATAAAGGTGTATTAAATGCTCTGTGCCCGGTAGCATTTAATAGGGAATATTCTGCAGGATTAAGAGCGACGATCCGTTACAGAGAATTTGGCATTTATATTCACCGTTAAATCTTCATCAATGACCCTTATAATTGGCATTCAAGGAGGACACGATCCTAGGGCCTCCTTCCCTAGACACAACTATAAATAGTGAGCCTAGTTATCATTGTAAATTGGACGAATTTTCTGGCAAAACTTATACTACATTCTATACAAAGCTTAATACAATCTTACTCTTCCGCTTTTTGATCTCATCATTACTGTACCCGGAAACCTTGTTTCCGGAACTGTCATCTCTGTTGTTTCATCTACATTTTAAGGCTAAGTATTGTACATTCTTTTTATTATCGCATTATTTCAGGATCAAATTAGTTCACTTGTCTAGAAACCACGTATAAATTCAACTGTACCGTTTTACGAGTAAATATTTTTGTATACGTCAAGGACCATATCTGTTATGTGGTATATATCAAGGACTAAAATAGTCCAAACCCCGTACATTAAGGACCATTTTGATCATTTCTCTTCAATTCTTCTTGATTTCCTCTATTTCACAATCTATCTATAATTTGTAAAGGATAAGATAGGGATAGGAGCCGGACAGAGCCACTGCACCTCCGCACCGCAACTCCTCATAAAGCAATTATCCAATTGGAACGTCTCTCTTTTGGCATTTTCTCACGCAAATTTCCTTCAATTTTTACTGTACAATCCTTGATAAAGTACTAGTAGTACTTTCACTCCTAAAAAATCTGCCAAATTTACACTTATCAGGTGTCTATGTACTAAATTTCTACTTACAATGTTCAAAATGCGTTCTAACTTTTTTTAAAATTTCTTGAATGTGATTAGTTCTTTGATCTCTTATAGAACGTAAATGACCCGAAATATGAAATGTGAATTAGGAAGGACTGGCCAACGAAATATTAATTGAAAACTGAACTTAGATATACTCAAGGATAATATATTTTTGTTATCGCGAAATATATTGGCCGTCGTGGGTGATGATTGAGCTAAATTTAGATTCTGGAATAATGCACTTGATGATATAAATTATTTGAAAAATTAATATTTTCTTCATTGTTTGAACAATTCACTTAGAAAAATCAAGAAATAAAAGTATGGTATAATTTCTCAATATTATTTCCAAAATTTTACTTGGATATTTAACCAAATGACTCTCCGAACTATAAATGGCCAATATTTTGAATGGTCAATATTATGCTATAGACGCAATGTATTTTCACCCTCAAAGAATAGTTATCCAATTCGTTTAAAGACAACCAAACGATAGTCAACCCCAAATGAAACTCTTACCATTCATTCTCAATTCTCAAAAACGGGACATGCAAAACTGAATACTGAGCTAAAAAATTTGCTGTTTTGTTTGCTCAAACGCAAAGGAAAATTACGAATTTCCGAATTTATGCTCAAGAGAAATGGCTAATTACTCGAAGGCCCACGTTTGCCAGTGTTTGAGCCGGCTGCTGACGGTTCGCCGGAACTCAACGGTGATGATAATGGGAGAAAGAAGGAAGACCGGCATGGAATTTGTTGACGGAGTATTGGGCCTGGCCCATGGGCTTCTTCAGCTGGGCCTTAAGCCCGGTGATGTAGTTGCCATTTCTGCTCTTAACAGGTTCTTATTATTATGGGAACTGCTGCCATTTTAATTCTAGCTGCTAATGTACAACTTTCATTTCCTTCCCAGTTCCCAGTACCACATGGGCAATAACAGAAAATAAAAGGGGAACTGGCTTATTGCTGTTATTTTACATTTTAATCAAAACAATTTGTTTCATGTTATCATCGATCTTATTTTATGATATTACCTTTCTTCTGAAATAAGGAACGTTGAGCATTTAATTAAAAAGAATTGGCATGAAAAATGAATTTATGTCTGGAAATAGTCATAAGGTACTCAAATTTGACTGCATCATATTTGCCAGTGAACTACTCTTGAATTGTTAGGAATTCTTTTTCATCATCCAATTTTTGTTGCAGTGATCTGTACTTGGAGTGGTTACTCGCAGTTGCGTATGTAGGAGGAATTACTGCACCTTTCAACTACCGTTGGGTAAATAAGCAAAGCACCTACTCTCTTATCTTCCATTGACATAACTGGAAGACTATTTTTTGTATTTTCTAATTCATTAATGGGTGAATTTCAATATCAGTAACAGTTATTACTCTCTTGGTCTGTGTTACATGGAGTTGCCTGGAAGTATCATTATCCTATTCCGCTATGCATGCACCTAGGAGTTTTCAATCTTGAAAAAAAGGGCAGCCCGCTAAGCTCCCGCTATGCGCGGGGTCCGGGAAAGAGCCGGATCACAAGGGTCTATAGTACGCAGTCTTACCCTACATTTCTGTAAGAGGCTGTTTCCACGGCTTGAACCCCTGACCTCCTGGTCACACTAGTTTGTAATTTAAGGATTCACTCAAAGTACCAATATCATACCTGTTGCATTGTTTAGATTTACGCAGTATGAAAAAACCATGTAACATAGCTCTTGATTGTAAACAGTTTAAACATATGTAAACTTAACTTTCTATGAGGAAACTGAAAATGATATCATGGTTAAGTACTTTCTATCACAGCAAAGCATCAATATCTGTATAATATAAGATTGAAGAAACTGTTCCGGATATAAGCATGTTCTCCTAGTAACTCTTCTCAGCATGCAGAGCTTGGAAGAAGCAAGAACAGCTCTTCAGGTAGCAAAGCCAACAATGTTGGTCCACGATGCAACCTGTAATTTCTGGAAGTTCGAGTCCTATGATGATTCTGTACCTTCTCTGAGGTGGCAAGTGCTAATGGATAATCCTAGTGTAGTTAATAGCACTAAGCTTGGTATGTGTTAAAGCATTCATGACCAGAATGAATATATATAAAAAAAGAGTATTCTTCTTCTGTTTATTAATTTATCATTCTTACATCTGCCAGGATTAACTACTAAACAGCTTAAAAGAAGTTTCAAAAGGCATTTAGTTGCAGACTACCTGTGGGCACCTCAGGAAGCTGCTATAATATGCTTTACCTCAGGTATATGCTAACTACCTTTCTACATGCTCATTTCTCGTTGCTCCTTTTCTTTTCCCTAATCCAGAAAGTGATTTCAAATCCTCTCACACCGAAGGAGATGGACAAAAATAAGTTCTAAGAGAAATGTAGTTGTGGAAACCTCTTTTTGAACCAAGGAACGTAATTTCTCCCTCAAAATTTTATCTGGGTCAGATTAGGCAAATATCTTGTTTCTTAGTCTCAGTAAAAGTTTTTTGGCTATTAGCAAAATTCATGAGCAAGGAAAAGGTCATTTTGTATGTCATACTAACCATTTGCTCCGCTGAGAAATGTGTTGTGTGGGTTGAGTCATAGAACTGCTGTTCTGGTACAAGGAGTATTTGTAAGTCCTTTGACTTGTATTTATCATTTATTCTGTTTCCTAATGACAATAGGAACCACCGGGCGGCCAAAGGGAGTTACCATAAGCCATTCAGCTTTGGTGGTGCAATCCCTTGCAAAAATTGCAATTGTTGGTTATGGTGAGGATGATGTATGCTTATCTACTATGATAAAACATGATATGAATGTCTCAACCTTGATATAGTACAAGTTGATTCGTGTTATGGTTTTCTTGCAGGTCTATTTACACACTGCACCATTGTGCCACATTGGTGGTATATCATCAGCCTTGGCCTTGTTAATGGCAGGAGGTTGTCATATTCTACTACCAAAGTTTGAAGCTAAATTGGCTATTGAATCCATAGAGCAGCATAATGTTACTTCTTTTATCACAGTTCCAGCTATGATGTCTGATGTAATCTCTTTTTATAGGTAAAGCACTCAGTTGTCCTACACGATGCAAAGATGAATTTCAATAGGATTTATCTTTTGAACAAAGTTGAAGTGAATAATAACTGTATGGGCATCCATATGATTGGTTAATCAGGCTTTTTCCTTAGAAGTTACTACCAATATTAATTTGTGACATTATCTCCTTTAGATTTTGCAAGGAATACTTTTTGTGATGTCCTGATCAAGATTAAAAGAATTTTGCTCTCTTTTTGCCCAGTTTCTAGTGGTGCTTGATTCTTTTCTAGGTTTCTCTCCATGGACATTTAGCACATCCACTGAGTTCATGATAAGTGCAAATATTTGATTCTACTTTCACTTGTCGTAGGACAAAGCACACATCTGTAGGGTCCAAATCTGTGAGGAAGGTTCTTAATGGAGCTGGGGGTCTTTCATCAGATCTTATCAAAAATGCGATTGAGATTTTCCCGAGGGCTAAAATTCTTTCAGCCTATGGTATGTTGGTTTAGTGACTACTTGACATATTTTCCCCATCTTCTCCAAAATTATCCTTTCTGAACAAAATATTCTGTTGTAGCAGGAGATCGCAAGCTTTAAAGTGGTGTTCCTGATGTATGATATATATCATCCACTAGACATTATGCTTTCCAAATTTATAGTGGCACAAGTCCTAACCTTAAACCTTCTTGATGTATTCTGTATAGTTAGCTTCACGAATATCTACCCTTCGGTAAACAAAGCATTCTGTGTCGGTCGTGCTCTCCTGATAAGAATTCTTTAATTGTTCTTTAGGAATGACCGAGGCATGTTCTTCTCTAACTTTCATGACTCTTTATGACCCGACGAAAGAGAGTTGTGTCCAGAATTCTTGTGCCAATAGCTCCAATTTGTCACATAAACCAGATGGTATCTGTGTTGGAAAGCCTGCTCCACATATTGAAATATGGATTGCTGGGGATGATTCATCTTGTATAGGGAGGATTTTGACACGAGGACCCCATGTAATGCTTGGATACTGGGGTCAAATGCCAAGCAAGAATTCTTCTCCAACTGATGAATGTTGGCTTGACACTGGTGATATAGGACATATAGATGATTGTGGAAATGTCTGGCTCATTGGGCGTTTGAAAGGTCGAATAAAGAGTGGGGGCGAGAATGTTTATCCGGAAGAGGTAAGCATCCAGACTTTAATTCCTTTGTTTCTTCGTTTCCATTGAGCTATCATCACAAAGAGAACTGCCTACTTGAAATCTTATTACTTGATGACCAAATGATAGATATATTTTAATTAACTTTTGGTAATGGAAAACCATGATTTCTTTTTGATTGTTTCTATAGGAACATAATTGCCCTATAAATCCATTTAGTAAGTTTGTTTTGGCGCAGGTGGAAGCTGTCTTATCCCAACATCCAGGGATATCTGCTAGTGTTGTTATTGGGCTTCCCGACTCTCGCTTGACCGAGATGGTCATTGCCTGTATTAGGCTCAAAGACAATTGGCAGTGGACTGATTCCAGTTCTAATCATCCGGTTAACAAGAAGGAGCATTATCTGTCCAGCACTCTCCTCCAGAACTTCTGTAGAGCGAAAGATTTGACGGGGTATTCTTCTTTTTCTATGTTGGTCAAGGGAATTCGATTGCAGCAAGGCTATCTCATACTCCACTCCAATCTCACCCCTGCCTTGCGTGATCTGATTCATATTGATGACATGTACTGTAATATTTTGCAGGTTCAAAATACCCAAGAATTTTGTATTGTGGAAAAATCAATTTCCAGTGACAACAACAGGGAAATTAAGAAGAGATCAAGTCAGAGCAGAACTTATGTCTTATAGGCAGTTACAGCCCAGCAGACTATGACTCCAAATCCTCCTCTTGCATTTGTTTTGAGTGACTAACTACATGGTGAGAGAATACACAGAGACAAATACTGGGAATTATCTGACATGGTGCACGGAAACTATGCAGCTGTTCCTCAACAATAAAAAAAAAAATGCAGCTGTTTCTCACAGCAAATTATCCATTTAATTCTCTATCTCAGGTTATTTAATGTGTATTAGTTATTTCCCCATTAAGTTGTAATTGACGAGATACTTTTTATTTCATTACTCATATATACCCATACAAATTCTTCTTTATTATATGTACCATCAAGCTGAATAACATCCCGATTCATCGAATCTGAATGATCGCGAAGTTGAATATCGTAGTGCACTTCTTTCCCCAATTTCTATTATTTCTTGTTTATTAGTCTTTGCTAGTCAAAATAGAAGCTCACCATTATTGCAGGAAGTCAAATGAAACAACTGATTCTGAGTAGTAGTTACTTCTGAAAATTAACGGTTCCAAAGCAATTATCATCATGCCAAGAAGGTTCCATCATTTAAGCATATGGAACAACATTATGAAAATGTATACTACCTTAGTAGGACAGAAGCAGCTCTGGCAATATCAGTAATTGCCAGTAGCTTTTACAAGTTATTGGTCGTAGGTTATGTGTGCAGGAAAAGAGAATTTCTGACGATGTGTATAAACATCTGAATAACTCAAGATCATATCTATTAGATTTTCGCCAAGTCTGCTCTCACCTCAAGCCATGACAACATAGTGTTGAAAACAAGCTCCACACTTTCATTTGGTTCACCTATCAATTGGTGCCACATTCCTGGGAAAATCTTCATCGTCTTATCTTTACTTCCTGCTGTTTCATACACAAGTTGAGCAGCTTCAGGATCACATACCTTATCATCCCCACCTTGAAGAATCAGCAAAGGGACTTCTAGTTCATGAGAGTTCCTCTGTATATATTCACAGACTTTCAGAAGCTCTAATGCAGTGGCAGCTGGTGGCTTCTGGGAAGCCATGTGATTCGGACTTTTTGAGACCATTTTTCTCTTCCATCCCTCCTTGTATGATTTAGATCCAGGTGGTTTGGTGATCACAATCCTCCAAGATGGTGCTACAAAGGCGGCCAATGGTAGTAGCTTCTCCAGTGGCCAAACAGGTTTGTATTTCTTTGACACTCCACACATTGGTCCACTTAAAACTAGACCTTTCCATACAGTCTTCTGCCTTAGACATATAAGTGTAGCAATTGCACCACCTAATGACTCACCATACAGGAAAGCAGGGAGCTTCGGGTGATTGGCACAAGCAGAGTCGAAGTACTGTATGCAGTCTTCGACTAAGGGTTGAATACTCGGAATGTAGCCAGGTGAGCCTTCTGAGTAACCGTGACCTTGTAGGTCAAGAGCACAAACGAAAAATCCGGCTTTCGCCATTGTTACTGCATTTAGCTCAAAAAGCCAGCTGCTTTCGGATGTATAACCATGAATCATGCCCACAAGACCTCTTAACTGATTACTTGATTCAGGCTGCCAAGATTGTGTGAATATCTTCATGTTTTGTTTGTTTAACATGAAGCTTTCTTTATGCATGATTTTCTGTTGCTTGTAAAACTCTTCTCTTGGAAGGTCTCCGTAAGGGCTGTTCTCGTTAGCTTGGAAAATTGGATGAGACATAGTGTACTAGTGAGTTTGTCTGTTTAGCTCCTACTTTTTTGGTGGGGATACAATAGTCTTGTTTGGGATTGTGAAGGTGCTGAATGTGACTACTTTGAGTTGATATATATATATACACATATGATATTATGATATGTCTATGTTGCTCAAGAGTACAGATCAGTTGGGAGTTTAGCCTCCCAACTGTTTCATGCTGGAGCTATAAATGGAAATAAGAGACATGAATCAATTATAGAATTAGATATGATTTTCTTTCCGTACCAAATTTGGCTTCTATTAAGTTGAGGAATAAATTTGTGTTTCCTTTTGCTTTTTTTATTTTTATTTTTTGGCACTGTTGAATTGGCAACCTTCTTTTGATTTCCTTCATAGTTATCCTACATGTTCTTCTAAGGATAAGATTAAGGGGCAATTAGCTACGTCCTTAGGGCATTTCATGCATATTGTCCAACTTATGCATTAAAACCGAAACCTATTAAATTTAAGAGAGAGTATCTCATTACCCCTGACTTGGCACATTTAAACCACAAATCTCAAAAACATTGCCAGCAAACAGGCATTATTACAATGCAACTTTTAATTGAGATTACACAACAAGTAGTTGCAACACAAGACAAGGGAGGGGCCACCCCAAACATCCTTGAATGGGCAATGGAAATTATTAAGCCTAATATCAACTCAAACTCTAGTATTCAAGGAGAACGCAAGAAAAAAAATTGGTATCTTCTAAAAGTAATGTAATATTATCGGTTACAAGAAAAAGTAAAAAAGATCTTAAATGCGAAGCAAGCTACTTCTTCAAAGTAAGTGGCCTCAATGGAGACTTCAGGGTTTTGTCACAAGCTGGGATGTGCTAAACTTGTTTTCTATTTTTTTTTCCGAAGATCATGACTTCTGGCTAAGAATTTTTGAAGTATATTTATTCTATGTTTGAAATCTGTTATCTTTTCAGTCTCACATTTTTATGAATGATAGGTGGAGATCTGTATTTACATGATGGTATAAAAATTTATGTATAAAGGACAGCATGGTACATTAAGCTTTCGTTATGCACGGGATCCGGGGAAGGACCGGACCACAAGGGAATAGCCTTTTACTAAGAATTTCGGACGATGAATAAGAAAGAATCAGACATCTGAAAAGCCTTTTACTAAGAATAAACTTTGAAACATACCTAAAAGTTAATCATATTGAACTGACCACCGAAGGATGTGGTGCAGTGGATGAGGCTGTCCCTCCCTTAACCAGAGGTCTCGAGTTCGAGCCCTAGGTATGGATAAATCCTTGGTAGGGAGCGCTACCTCCCGAATGGGGCCTTACCCGGCGCGAATCCGGATATAGTCGGACTCCAATGCAGGTACTGGACACCGGGTGAAAACCAAAAAAATCATATTGAACTGGTGATTGAAAAAATTGTTTGATTAAACAAAATCATCATATCAAAGCATAAAATTTAAACAGTTAGACTGATTCTGAACATTTTGAAAATTGTGAAAATTGTACAAAATAATATTAAAAGTAAAATCGTATCAAAGTTTTTGAAACGTCTCAAAATGAAAAAAAAAAATTGACAATGAGTCAATAACAAAATGAAATTCTACAAAAGCTCGAGCAATTATTTTAAATCACTATCAATGGGCAACAAGGAAGAATTCAACTGATTTGTCGACAACAAATAGTCGCCAGTTTCAGAATTGAAATATTCAATGAGACGAAAGATGATAAACACATGGATTTCTGTTAAATTAAACTAACCAAAGTAGTCTGTACATTTTGCTTCTCTATCTTTATATACAAGAAAGCTGACAAAATGTACCTAATATACCTAAGAAAATTCACAGCTGCAGCTATATATGTTTGGTTTTCCTGACTGATGATAAAGAATATACAAAACTAACTAGGGATCCCCTCTACAAGCCCGGTCAGTTGAAACTTCATAAACCTTTCCCTATTTCAAGCTGTCTGCTACAAAAGGTAATACATTTCTGTGACACTAACTAAAATCTGTTTTTCTACCTTCAGGATGGAGTAATGCAATGTCTTTATCTGTTCAACAAAAGAAACATGAATCAAAGAAAGATTGATTTATGAAAGAAACAGTTAAAAGATATCCTAAGATATATTGCAATGTCTTGCAACAAGCTTGCTGTTTTTGGGATGTGTACCAATTTACCAAATGAAGAGTTCACTTCCTCCGAATTTTCAATTTATTTTCTATCTGTGCTATGACAAATCATCAGAACAACATGTTTTATCAATAGCCATTTTGCAGTTAGCTTTTGCAATATTCTTTTGCTCTATGGCTTTCGCCACTGCTGAATCTGCACGTTTTTTCTCTTTCTGCCACCAGTTGCTTCTAACATCTTCATACTAGGATTTCACCAACTCACTTTGATTTTTCTTTTCTTGTTTTCTTTTTAAAATTTTCTAAAGCAACCTTTCAAGATCACTCCTTTTTTCATAAGCCCTAGTTTTCTCAACCTTCAAATTTTTTTCGTAACTCAGCCGTTTTCCTTTCTTTTTCAGTTTCTTTTTTTTTCTTTTTTTTGTTGGAGAATCCCTGAGGAATAATGGAACACGGTTACTAAAAACCCATTATTTTACTCAGGTTCTTTTCCTTTTCTTGAGCAGGAGTAAGACGATATATGATAAATGTTACAGTCAAATATAACAAAATGAATAGCTTAATTAAAAGTTTTAATTTTCAGTAAATGTTTTTAATACTCCCTCTATTCATTTTTATATAGCGATGTTTGACTGGGAATGGAGTTTAACAAACGAAAAGACGACTTTTGGCACATACCATACAGCTAGAATTTGTGTCATTCTTTTCAGAACAACCAAAAAAGGAAAGAGTGCTACATAAAGTGGAAAAGAGAGAGTAACAAATAGTAGCAATTTAGTGTTTAGCAAATACATATCGATAATTAGACATTCCCATAAAGTTTGTCTTAGAGGGTGCTCTAGCTAACAACAATAAAACCAAAAGTTATGCATATCACCCACTGAAAACTATACTATAGCAGAAGAAAAATTACCTTAAGCAGGAGATGATTTTACTAGCTTGGTAGACTCGCCAGTTAATTCCCTTTTGATCACCTTCAGAATCTCTATAATCTGCATTTAAGTAAGCGACATGTGAATAAGGTATAATATTAGCCCCATATAAATGCAATTGCATGATTCAGAGGTGAAGCAAGTTTATACTGGAAGTAGCTCCCCCCCCCCCCCCCCCCCC